TTTAGTGCAAACAAGAGAAAACAATCGTTGATTAGACGAGTGTTCTTGAAATAATATAGACAATATATCTTAAAACTTTTGGGTGTGGGTGGTGGGGTGTGGGTGTGGGTGTGGGTGTGGGTATGGGTCTCTGAAGGAACAATACCCACACCCACACCCACATCTACACCCACACCCACATCTACACCCACACCCACATCTACACCCACACCCCACACCCACACCACCCATCCACACTCACCCCCACCCACACCCTAGTTTAAATTTCTACACGATAAATACTAGGCAAACAATTAAAAGCTGGATTATCGATACATCGAATTTCAATATGACTGTTCAGATCAATGATATTTATATAATGTGAACGATCATTGGCTATGTATAAATGATTGGAATCAATAAAAAATCTAGCTGGTGCATCTAAATCTATTATATAAACAATTTCTTTATTAAGCCAATTTATAATAACACAGTTTCTTCTTAATGCAGGTTCAAATCCTTTTTGATTATCTTCTATACCAATATACGCATGTTTTTTTATTCTTATGTTTTTTATTCAATGTCTTTTTTAAACATGAAATTGATCGGTAAGAAAACTTGCAACGACATATATAGGACAAGTATAGTGTAAGGTCGATGGAAATGAGACTTTTCTCTTCATATTATTGATTGTATCAATTAAATTCATATCGGTTTCAAATGATATTTGTCCATTCCAGATCACATGAGTGATAGTTTTTAAGTAGGTACAAATTATACCCTTTTAAGATTTGATTTGATTTCATTGATCGAGAATCAATTTCATTGTCGGACAAATTAGGATATATTGGTATTTCTAAAATATTCAATGTTTTTTCATATTTATTTAATAACAATGAATTTATGAATTCATATAATAAAAATTCATATTCTCCAGCAAGTACAGAATAAATATCATTTAGCTGAAAGTGTTAATTGAAAAAAAACTTTTTGGATAATTTTTTTCTCTAATAAATATCGTCAAATTTTACAATAGTATCAATATAGAGCTGACTAAAGACTTTATAGTAAGATTTTATGTTAGAATCATATTTACTATTTTTTTCACAGCGGTTATATCCATCTCTGAACTCACTGATAAAGTGACTGTTTTTCAGTGATAATCTTTACAACTTAGAGAAAATCAGTCTTTAGAAAATAAACACAATTGTGTGATATCAAAGGAAAAATAAAAGATGATTATATATCTTCTCTTATATAACTTTTCCCATGATGAGTGTGAGGATGGATGTGAATATTCTTCTTACAAAACTCACACTCACACCCGGCTTCGAGATGGATGTAGAAGCTTTACGATAGTTCAAACAAATGATTGGTTTCATCTATTCTAACGGAATATACTAACTGTTTTGAATTATAAACCCAAGCGCTATTGCATGAAGAAACTAACTAGTCCTGAATAATATAGAGGAATTTTGAACTACTATCATTCGTTAAGATATTCATCAAGTATTTCAAAATGAAAATTTTGTTGAGTTCAGAGCAGTATCTGAACTTCAACTATCTTATCTCATCAAAGGAAATCAATGAATTCAAATCATGAAAATTTCTAGAGTGGTCGATTAGATTCTATCTTTTTGAACAGTGAAAAATCTATGAGATGTTTATCTATGCGATCTATGCAAACTCAGATTTCTATATCGAGTGACGCCATAACATTAGCAAATGTATTCCTTAAGCATAGGCCAATAGAATCAATATAATTGAAACAAACAACAATTCGAGTTGAGAATTTTCTTTAAAAAAAAGTTATTTGTTAATTAACCTGTTATTAATAAGAACAAAATAACAGTAACTTCTCACCTCTAGTTTCTCAATATTGATTGTTGTTGGATGAAAATAGATTCTTGACAATAGAAAAAATTGAATTCATTTACAACCGATTTCACCTCATGGACGATATTTAAAGCGTAAAAGAGCACGTTCACGTTCTCTGATCTTTTTAAATGTTACATATCATTTTTGTGTTCAAAGAAGCGAGAGTATTCCTCGCTGCGAATATTTTTCTTTTTCCAACAGACTAATGAGGATAGAAGTTCTCTATAACTAGTTATCTATGGCAGAGCAGAAGATAGTTGGAAATCTAGATTTAATCCAACTTCGTGAAGCAAAATTTGTCGCGATTGAGAACATTAGCCATTCGAAGAGTACATTTAATCTTTTTCACAAATACCACCAAGCTTCTGCATCATTATGAGCCTATCGCGAGGATATTGAAGAAAAGACGCCGTCATTATTTGTTAGTTTTTTGTTTTAAATAATAAATCAGGAAAACCTACTCGTATTTCTAGTTGTTGCAATTGTTAAATATGAATAACTCAGATGCTTGTCGCGGATTTTCAAAAACCCGTCGAATATAAATGTGTCGGCGTTTGCTGAGCAACAAGAGGCGCGAGTCAATGATTGGTTTATCGTTTGCTTTCTGAATGAAATATTTTTTTTTTTGAATTGCTCGAGCGAGAACGTCTCAACTCGTCACGTGACGAGTTGAATAAACAGCAAAAATCAGACATTTCGTAACACCAAAAATAGGGATATTCAAAAATACAGGGATGTCGTAACGAAATTTACAGGGCGATCGTAACGATTAATACAGGGAGTTCGTAACAGTTGCAGAGCTTTCGCAACGGAGCAACAGGGATTTCGTAATGAGGATAAGGGTGATAGCTGAACTGAGTTTGCAGGAATTACATGCTTTTCGTTACGAAAGCTCTGTAATGGTACATATTAAAACACCAATTATGATCATCCTGTAAACTTTGTTACGAAACCCCTGATTTTTTGTTACGAAAGACCTGATTCTGTCGTTACGAAAGCTCTGTCACTGGCTTTCGTACTGTCAATTCGTTACGAAAACCAGACAAGAAAAAACGTGACGAGTTGACACATTCCCGCTCGAGCATAGCTACTACGCTCCTCTTTACCTATAATATGCGTGAATCATTTCGTTGCTGTTTTTTCTCCTTCAAAGGTAAGTTGGAAAGATAAACGACTACTGTTAATCATCATTACTTTTGATTCATAGCTCATTATCGGTAATGTATACTATCATTCAAGCGAGGAAAGTTGAAAAAGACCAACATGAGACTGTAGGACGAAACCAATTCAGCTTGCCAGTGTGAGTGTGAGTGTGGGGTGTGGGCTTTGGTAAGAAGAACATTCAGGTCTACACCCTCACTCACCCACACATACCCACATTCACACCCTATCATTTATTCAATATGCATCTATTGAACATTGTTTGAACTTTCAGTAGTGTAGAACTCGAAGATTTGGTTCAATTGAAAACGAATTGTTCAATTGAAGCGAAGACAGAAATCTCAAATTTCAATTTCAAATTTCAAATCTGATTTATTCAATTGAAGGCTGTTCAAATTTGAAGTTTCAGATGAAGTCAAATTGATTTGTGCTGAGACTATGGCTGCTCGAAGCTCGTAGTTCAATAGTCCATCCGCGAAACCTTAAACTTGTTTGAAATTTGAACTTTGAAATTTGAGATTTCTAACTTCGTTTCAATTGAACCAAATCTTTGAGTTTTACACTGATGTGAACTTTGTAATTCTCAATAAATGATGAACCTTTTTATATTTGCAATACTTTGAAAATAATCAATCTTTATTCCAATAATCATAGTTTATTTGAATTAAAATTGATCATTTGTATCACTCTAATTATTTTAGCAAAAATAGGAAACAACTTCTTTATCGTGTCAAATTCGTTATAAGACATTCACAGTCAGAAAGAAATTTCATTTTTACTCATGGTTAATTACGGCGAAGAAAAAAAATGACTGTCACAACATATTTTTTCGGTTCAAACTGTCTGTTGCTCAGCCACATTGCTTTCCAAGTTGACCACTACATTTCTTAACTGTAGCCCATAGCTTGAATGTTCTGCCACCCCACTGCCATACTTTTCTTGCACAAGCTAAATTCTGCTGTGGATCACATGGATATCGACCATTGTTACAGGAAGCAAAATTTTGTTGATTTATTTGAAATAAACCAATATCCCATGTTCCACCCGTGTTGTAATTCATTGCATTGGCATTCCCTTGTGATTCAGCTTGAACAATACACTTACAACATTGTTGATCCCAATCCGTGTACTGTGAACAGTAAGAGCCAGCTGAAACGTAGTTTGCTGTTCTTCCACATGGACATGTGGCAGGACAATTAGAATAGAGACAGTTTTGACCGCATCTATCACCGTTCACAACATAGATGATGGCAATAATAAGAACAGCAGCGAGAAATTGATGCATCTTTTTGCTATGGAGAGTAATCAGAAAAATATGAAGTACCTGTTTGATTTTTTTACACTATTTTTATAGGCTAGCTTACTTCCGATTTTTTTTTCTTTCAATTCCTCTTTCTAATAGGCATCAAAATTAGATTTTTTATCGCACAGTAAGTGTTGATGCGTCGTTAAGATGAGAGAAAAGGAAGAGAAAGAAACTGAGTCATGTTTATTCATACACGAAAAATATTTTATGCTTCCAAGGTAGAGCAACTGGTGGTTTAGTCATGGTATGGGAGTAGCAAAAGAGAGAGGAAGTGATTTCAGCTTCTCAATCGATTCTACTTTCTCACTCCAGTCTCTCTTCTAGTCATTCCTTGAGAGAACCTGAAAGGATCTTTCAGGATCCTGAATCTCAAGGATCTTGTCAAGTTTTGATCAGGATCTAGTGTCAAATCCAAGTGATTCCTGTTTTCAGAGTTTCTTCAAGTTCTTGCTCAGATTTATTTATTAATTTCGAAATCAGGATCCCATCGGGATTCACTCTCGATCTTATTGAGGATCCTGACCAGAATTATAGAAAAGATTTTTTCAAGATTTTTTTAGATTATTACCAAGATCTGATTCAAACATTTGTATCACACCCTCTCAGAATTTATTACTACATCGGTCGATGGTTTTAGCAAGAAGGTAACAAGATCAGTTATATTTCTGAACTGATAATTCCTGTCAAGCTTCGATCAGGAGAGTGTGGGTGTTGGTGGGTACGGGTGGCGGTTGTGGGTGGGTGTCGTTTGAGAAAATACCTACACCCGCATCCACCCACACATCCTATTTGAGTCTATCCACTATTGCAAATTAAAATTGATCAAAGGTCAACCAGAATAAGAGAATGACATCGACATCTTTCTGTTAAACATAACCTATTATCGTTAATAGCTATTGTTGGATTTTGTCAGTCTTAATAATCTTTATACATAACTAAAAATTATGTTCAATGATCCACATTTGTCTATAATCAATGAGAAGATTTTGCCCTCTCTTGTTCAGGTAGCTTGAAAATCGGAGGGTGTAGTTGAAGTTGTGGGTTGACCTTATTTACACTCATACCAGCTGTACAGGCAATTTTACTAGCCAAACATCTGGAGACAATTGAACAATTGGACGTTGATTCAAGGTATTTAAAAGAAACTAAACAGGAGATCAATATAGTCAGTGTAAAATGTAATTACAGCATTGTTTGATAGGGCTTGAGCAAGACATGTAGAACTTTATTTATTTATTTTCCATGATCTTTTTATTAAATTTTGCTTGTTGCAGCTATGGAACTCTGACTTTCGCCATTGAAAAAGCGAGAATGCGTGTTAGTATAGGTTGAAGCGTCTCTGGAATGAAATTCAATATCCACAATCAGAATCCGCATTCAAAAGCAATAGGATAGCTTCAATAGAGCTCATCTGTGAAGGAAAATCAGTGATAGATCCCATAATATTTCAGCGATATCACAATCTTAAGACCTTTGTTCAAATATCACGTCTTCCATCGTATCGGTAGACATCTAGGCAAAATTTTCGGAACTAGTATCTAAAATCTATTAAAGTGAAATACAACATTATGTACACTTATTAGTTTCCTTTTTTCTTCCAGCATAAGTATATTAATGAAAGATCTGGTCAATAATTCTATGCGCATAATGGTAGTTATAGAGTTTGATTAGGGTGTGGATCAAATGATGAAACATTCTGCATTAGCATCCATGTTTTACCATAACAACATCCTTTTTTGTGTCGAATTATCTTCGTCAGACAGCGCTCTTCCGCATCGGAAGTACCGTTCGATTCTTTATCTCTTTTGTTTCATGCTGAAATTAGTATAGCACGTTTGATGTTTTCCTGTTTTATTTATTCATGTAGCTATACCTGGATGAAAAACAAGAGTAACGCTTGAACGTTACTCACTGCAAATTATGCCATGATATTTTTCTTTTCTTTTGCGCACACATTTTGAATTTCGCAATACGACGTCATGTATAGACAGCATATGTGGATTTCTCTAGGACGCATGAAATTGCTGGCTGGTCAGACGACAAATATGTACTCGTAAAAAATTCGAGTGTCAAAACGAACTTATGAACACTCGACGCCGGTGTCTTCATCTAACAAGTATTTCGGAATCATAAAGCACCACATGTTGAAGCTCTACATTGCTTTTTACCACAGAACCAGTGACTGTATATACTTCCTTGTGTTCATGATGCGTAAATCTTAATAGCAATAGATGTGTGAATGAAGTTTGAGTGCAGGTTCATTGTGTTGCAGCCTACGTGCACTCGCACCTACATGCTTCTATTGTATTCTTACTAAGATCCTCGTCTGTTTTAACTAGAATTCTTCACTGAATTCTCATATGAGGGCCCAGAAAAGATCCTGACAAAAACTTCATAAAAATTTGGTAGAATGCTATCTGCTACTCCTATGAGGGTCCTAAGTATCATTAAGACAGACCCCTAATGCGACGCTAGCTGGCAAATTTAGAAAAAAATCTAAATGAAAAATTAAAGAAATTCTGAGCAGGACTCTGTTTAGCCACGAGGAATCCTGAATGTGGGTTTCTTAACAATATTGCTTACATGCATACACCGTCCACACGTCACCTGTCACATCCATATCCCACGTTTGTTTTTGTGTATTGGCTGTTATCGACAATAAATGTTATAAAGATTATTTCTGCGGAACATTTACAGAAAGAGAAGCAATGAAGAATGACACATTTAATTACAAAAAGAAATTTCAAACAAATTGTGAATTTTTTTTTGCGTGCAATTATTATTTTTTTGTTCTTTGTTTTATTTTTTCTTTTAGCTGCAGGTACTTTACAAAACTTTTTCACATTACAAAACTCATTTTCTAAATAAGCAGAAAGTGACTGAATGACATCTTTTTGTCTTTTCCTTTCATACAGCTACCACTGGAGTTTATAAAAAGCAACCCGCTTTTGCGTTAAAGATTAGTCAAACTTTTTACAAAAACTGTAGATAATGCTTTCATTTCTGAGCTTGTGCTGAAGAGCTAGATATATTTGACATCTTTTTAAAATAGAGACAATCGAGTTCAAAGCAGTGAAATCAAAAGGATACTCGAAATCAGCTGGTTAGTTATCCTATTGATTGTGTTCTGCGAATCGCTAAACTGTAGAGTTCCGACTAAATTACTCTTTGCTTTTGTAGATATAACAGACATGCTACCAACACTGATTGAATCGTTACCTATTAAATGATGGCGTGATTTGTTATATTATTTGGATACTGTCGATCTGTATCATACATTCGAAGGGTTAAACTCAAAAATTGATTCAATTTTGAATGCAACCAATCTCAACTTAGTTTTATCACATAAAGAAACCTTCAATTACTATTTCCACACTATTTTACCATATATAAATGCTTCAAAAGTACTAGTATTAAAATTAGAAGATCGAAATGATTTTTTAATGACAGGTAATCAAATTCAGCAATTTTTCGATTTACATCCTATGAATGACTTTGTCTATCTTCGTTCATTGGTGCTATTATTCTGTAAATACCCATAGTTTTCTTGAGGTGACGGTAATTCTATACCAAGTTGCAAAATTAACACATCTTCGTTTGCTTAACATTGAAATACAATGGAGTTAATATACTGATGCTTACATCAATCGTCTTCTGCATTTAGTATTTATCGAAAAGAATAATTTTTCTTCGCTACAACATTTTACACTGTCTTGCATCATCTAACAACCACTATCAAAAATGTCGACGACGAGTCTAGAAACAATAAGAAGAAATATAAAACATTTTTCGTTTTCTCTAAGATTTCGAATATCTACTCTTCAAATAATTTTATCGCATATAAAAAACATAAAATCGATTCATCTATATCTTTTTACTAAAAACGAACAACAACAAAAATACTCGAGCGTTCTCGTACTGATGAACTGTATTAACTTGAGTTTAGAAGTAACACATACTGTTACATTTGAACAAATTGAATACGCACTAAAAAGTTTTCCAAAATTAAAGAAGTTAAAAATTAAATGTTATATCAATCTATTATTGGACGAAAATAACGGTTGGGAACAAATGTTAACCGACTGTTGCTTGAATCTAGTTAAATTTTAATTACTCTTCACCGATATTTTCTATCATGCTATCAATGAAGCGTTTAAATCGAGAGTATACGATTTGAAAACAAAATTCAACAAAATATTCTGACTTAAAAAAAATGCTAAATTTAGTCATGAACCCAAAGCATATACTAATGATTTCACAGTCGAATACGATTTGACGGTAAGTTAAACAATGTTTTCTGTAAAATATTCACAATTAATAGACAGAGTTTGTAATCTTCATTTGAAGATGGTGATAATGCAAATCGGAAGTTGGCACAGATGATGCGTAATATTGAGACAATAGTTTATAGATTCTGATAAGATTAATAGACTCTCATATCTAGACAGCATAACTTCGATCATAAGAATTATTTTTCATTGATTGCTTTGTTCTAATCACAAGCATCAAATCAACAACAAAAATAATGCTGAGATAGAGACATAGATGGTTCGATGCGTAAGTTCTTTATATTCTAATAAGACATTATTTCTATTTAATATCTCTTCGTTCTTTTTAGCTGCCAAAATAAACAAAAATTTCTAAATTGCTGATGTGGATGGGTGAACATGAGGATGAATTTGGACACCAGTGGTAGTCTTTTCTTCATCCACATCCTCCTTGAAATCAAGTAACACGATCGTAATACAATTTTCTTACTCAAGAACCAAGAGTAATTCATATCAAATTACGGTTTTCAATGAAGATTATTCCAACATTTTTTGACCTTTGTATCTTCCAGAAACCATCACAAGAGATGATAAAAGTCGAAATCTATCTTCGAAACCAATAAGGCTTATTTGTAAGCGTGATAATGATTGTAGATGTGGTATGAGGATGTGGAAAGAGAGAAGACCTACATCTACATCTTCCCGAGCGACATTTAATACCTCAATTAAAACATCTGATGAAAAATATCAAATTAACTTTGTTGACATACCTCACATAGAATGAAGCGCTTTAAATGCTAATAGTTATTAGTAGTGAAGAATTGAACCAGTTGACAATTTTATAAATATAGGATGTGAAAAAATACGACAATTAATTCTTAGACTAATTATTTTCATTTTATACATCATTGGTTCAATGAAAAGACTAAAATCTTCAATGTAGAGAATCATGGAATTGTTCGAGAGCACGAGTGTGCATGCCGGTGTGTGAAAAGAAGAAACACACACTCACACCCTTAGGCAAACGTTAGCAATTTTTGAACACTCATCTGGTTGTGGTCTTTCACACACTGTTAGGCATACCATGTAATAACCAATTTGAAAACCATACAAGACCGATATATTGAAGTACTACCTCTCTTCAAACAAGCAAAGAAACAATTTATACAGTTCTCTGAAACTGGTGAACATCGCGACACTGCTCGCGTACTCAACAATATAGGTAAAGCGCATCGTCTTCTTGATCCCTTACCAAAAGCGCTAGATTATCTCGAGAAAGCTTTACCTTGAGAAAAACCGCACTAGAAGTCAATTACCTTGGTGTAGTCACCACCTGATTAAACTCAAGTATAGCCTATCAAACTAAAGTCGATTTAAGCATCGCACTTGAATATCTGAGTGTGAATGTGAGTGAGGTGCGCAGGAGCGTGTGTGAGTATAGGTCTTCTTTGCATCTACATTCACATTCAAACTCACATCCTCAATATTTTCACGTTATTTATTAGATGAAATGATCGATAAAGAGTATCAAGCTTTCATCAATAGATCGTAATTACAGATAATTTATTGGTTCTACATAAAAAGTTATTCTCATCACTACCTTCATGTGTGTAATGTCGGATCAATCTTACATTGATCAATGAAATTATAAATTCAGCAAAGAATTTTCTTGAAATCATTTTTAGTGCGCTTAATCAATAAATAATTTGTTAATTAATCCTTTTTATAAAGATAATGTATACTCAAAACTAAACTTTTTTTCTAATCAATGTATATTTATTTAATGCTAAGTCACATGCACAAATTATTACAAAAGAAATAGAACTTAATTGCTTTGAATTTGATTCGTTTGTGTTTGATTTAATCTTTATTTTTTTCAAATCCTAGGTTCCAACATTAATCAAACATGGGGTGGAGTGTGAATGTCGATATAGACCTTCTGATGTCACTCATACTCGCACCCAACAAGATACTTCTTCAAAAATTTCAAAAAAACCATGAATTCCTTTCTGCAAAAAAGTGTGGACTGTTCGTTTCGAAGTCAATCTTTTTCCTCAAATGAAAACGAACAAATAAGATCTATTTATGAGTGTTTCACAAAAATTTTCGAAAATCCTATTTGAATCATGAGTCTTTGAAACTCAATTCCCTTTAAGTATAACTTTCTGTTATTACATAATGATATGATTTCATCTTTTATGGAAGATCGATAAGCTTTGCAGAATTAGCAAAACCAGGCAAATCTTAAAGTAACATCTGGTTTATATTTTAAACTATAAAAAAATTCATAAATTCGAAGCAGGATAATCTTGATTATTGATTCAATACTAAAAATAAAGAGAACATTCATCATCTTTAATGTATTTGCCGTTGCTCTTCAGATTATAATTGTGCTCTTCGATCGGCTTCTTGCTTGATCATTGCTTGTTGAACATGCATTGGTAGACCTGGATTGAGATTTAAAGCGTAGGGTAATAATGTTTTGGGTGTTTCTCCAAAGTCAACCATAATTTTGATGAACATTGTATCATCTCGAATATAAGCGTTGCCTTCTTGTTGAATTATTGCCAAAGGACAAAACTGAGGAATACCACTAGCAACATTCATTTCAGATCGTGGATGTTGAAAGCTATTTGATTTAATGTCCGGTCGAAATGAATCAATAATATGTTGTTGTGCAGGTGTTTGATCGTACAAACAGAATGTGACTTTATAGTTGAATGGAAATTTGAGAATTGTATCGTATTTACTTCGCATCAGGACAAAAAAGAGTGACATATGTGTACGACGAGCATTTCCATCACCATTTAAATAAAGACGAGCTCTCATTTTATAACCACTTGGAGAGGAATAAAATGGTGGCGAATAAATTGACGTTTGTCTTTCAGACTGTGCATCACCTAGAAATTCAACAAAAAAAAAAGATAAATCAAGAAGACCAAAAGCAAATATAAAAAAAATTAGTGGATCCACAGCATTGATGATTCATTTCATTTTGTTCATTAATAGATCACTTGTAGATTGTATTTGACAGTAATGACAGTAAAATTTCTCTGTATAGGCACTTCCTGGTATTGAGCGGTCCAGAGTCTGACCAAACAAATTTTACTGAAAATAAGTCTCTATATTATGAGCACCTCTTCATTCTGAACAGTAAGTGCTCATTTCTTCTCTCACGAGTAATAACGATCTCCATTATATGAGCAAAATGCATTGTGTCACTCACGTGCAGAAGGAGAAAAAAAGATGCCATCTGTATTGCACTATGATAAACAATCAAGCAACATATGTAAAAAGGAGACGAACTAATCGTGTATATTAAAAAGAAAAAAATTCTGAAATAGTAGCAACAATGTAATGAAACATTTCGTCATTTTTTTAACAGCTAGTAATATCAAATTATGCCAACACGCACTAGTTTACGTTTGGTTAAAAAAAAATTGAATTGATAAAGTATTCCAAAGAAGAAAAGGATCATCTTATGCAGTTGAAAAACTATTGCATATGAATACTTATCATTTGAAAACAAATAACTGAAAACCTTTCAATAATGAGCATCTCCGTAGACTGGCGAGGAAACATCCCCAACTGTCAAATCGCTTTTCGCTCGGTTCTATTGTCATTCGATTAGTCTTGGTGAATAGTGAAAAAGTCTATTTTGGTTTGGTTTTCTGGTCTTGTGTTATCGACTTATGGACGTTTTACTGGATTTTTGGTCTATGGACATGAGATTCCATAAGAACCTAAATGATCGAAATTCGATCTGAAATTTTGTCTATAGACAGTTCTCATAGTCACTAGAAAAACCCAAAAGTTTGAGCCAACACAAATGTATCCTTGTCGAGATATTAGCTTGTATTGAAAATATCCGTATTTTGAAACACAGCCCAAAAGAGAGGTTTTTTTTTAAAACTGAGTATTTCGATAAAGATAGATTCGTTCTGACTCAAACTTTGGGAATTTTCTAATGACTATGAGAACTGTCTATAGACAAAATTTCAGATCGAATTTCGATCATTTAGGTTCTTATGGAATCTCATGTCCATGGACCAAAAATCCAGTAAAACGTCCATAAGTCGATAATACAAGACCAGAAAACCAAACCAAAATAGACTTTTTCACCACTCACCAAGACTACTCGAATAACAATAGAACCAAGCGAAAAGCGATTTGACAGTTGAGGATGTTTCCTTGTGAGTATTTTTTCCAGCCCCGATGCTGCTCACATTACATAGATTTTACAGTATATATATATAATGCTGAAAGTAACGTTAAATCAGTTATGTATTATTAGTTGATGTTATAGAAATTGAATAACATGTTATTCTTTGGTTATCTTCTCGATAAGATTTTCTGTTTCTATCATTGTGTATAAAAGTAATTGATCATCTTACTCATTTTCTCGCGGAAGTTTGTTATTTTCCAAACTAATGTTCCATCATATGAAACACACTGCAAATCATCGACGTTTTCTTGCAATGATGATAAGTCTTGATTATGTTTTACTTCTTCTAAGAAAATATTTGATTCTTCAATGGATAATTTAACTTTTGATTGTTCTGCTGCTAATGTTGAAAGTGCTATTTGCATTTGAAGTGCTTCATGAGTTAGACGTTGTTCATCATTGGTCAATGCTTCGATGCCACCAACCAAGATATTGAGCATTTCATCAAGCTCTTCTGACTGAGCTATAGTAGGATTACAAGTTCCTGCAGTTGTTGTTCGAGGAAGATCAACATCCATTTGCCTGTCGTTTAATTGTGATAACATTTGACGAGCAACTTTGAGTAAGACATTTTGATGTTGTTCAGTCAAATAATGATCTTCCATTTTGGCACGAATTATCTAAAGAACATAAATTTTCTGGCATAGGCTTCATCTCGAGAATATTCATACTCGTTCATTACAACCGAAGTCTTTCAATATACAATCAACAATGAGTTGTTGACATTCAAAGACTTTATGTTGATGAAAATTTTCAGCTGAATCGAAATGTTTGCCACAATAGTCACATTTAAGATTTGAATGAGACTGATTGAGATGTTCCTTTGAAATAAAAAGCAAAGAAGATCCAAAAATAAAATAAATATAAAATGAATTACTTGATAGTTACATAAGACACCATTCCATTGACAAAAAGAACAATCAATCGGTAATGATTTCATTTCATTTGTGAAGCTTTGATCAAGTAGTACCTATTCAAAAGAAATATATATTCGATATAATTATGAAAAGATATTTTACCTCCGTCTGTAATGTTTCTGCTTGACATTGCCGACATTTAATTGTCGTTCTTGAAGAAGAATAATGAAAAATAATACTTCAAATTGATGATGAAACTTACTGTTGTTCAACATTAGTACATGTTTGGCACTGACGATGGCGACATTGAGTCAATTGTACAGGATCTCGTAGTATTAATGAACAAACAGGACAAATATATTTCGAATTAAGAAGATGTTTATTTCTTGCATCGATGCCTACCATTATTTTGATTTTTGTGTTGATCAATATACAAAAAGAAGAAAATTTTCCACAGCGTCGAAACCAATTGATATTTGGTTAGTATCGTGATAAGGGGGCAAAGAAAAATAATTCTTTGAAATTCAAAGATGTAATAAATAATGTATCTAGAAATAAGGAAGTATTAATATACGATATGGTTAAGTATATGTCATTGTCTGTAAATAAAAAGAAACGATATAAGTACTTTTCTAACAGGTAATTTTGAAGAATACTCATCAATTACTCATTAAAACGATCTCTAAGATGTATAAATAGAAAAATTATATAATTCATATGAATAACGCAATTTTGTCCAAAATTTCATGTCAAGTTTAAATGACGATGTTGGATTAATAAAAACATTAAAGATTGGTTGAAGATAATTGCCAAACGCATGATATTTTCTCATTCATTTTCATATATTTACAATAGAACAAATATTTTCTGAAGCAGAAAGAAAAGGTGTGGGTGTGCATGTAGGTAGACGAAGTTGTCGAAGTGTGTGTGTAAGTGTGGTATGAGTGACTTCTCTTCACCCACACCTGCTTGTGTGAATTGCCGACGTAAAGTTAATTGAAGCTGCACATCTCTAGTTTTTTTGTTAAAAATCAATGTAAAGGAACTTCTAATCGCATTGTTGTACATTGATATATTTTACTGCAGTTTTAAGTACTATGAACTCTTAGGTGATTGTAAGTACTTTTCCTCTTCTGAAAGACAAAAGTACACATTGTCCCAGTTGAGTTGAACGGCGGTATGTCACCTCTGAGATATCAATATTGGTTCGCCGGACTGCTCTTAAGATCTTTCTTTCATTTCTTGCTTGACAATTGCTTCTTGAATATGCCTTGGTAGACCCGAAAAGAGACTAAAAGCGTAGGGCACTAATGTTTTGTGTATTTCTCCGAAATCAATCATAATTTTGATAAACATTATTGTCTTGTACATAAGGATTACTCTCCTGTTGAATAGTTTCCAATGGAAAAAATTTCGGTATACTACTTGCCATATTCATATCCGATCAAGGTGATTGAAAACTATTTGATTTAATACCTGGTCGGAATGAATCGATAATATGTCGTTGTTGTGGAATTTGACCGTACAAACAAAATGTGACCTTATAATTGAACGGAAACTTGAGAATTGGATCATTTAAATCTCGCATGAGTACAAAAAAGAGTGACATATGTATACAGCGAGCATTTCCATTACCATTTAAGTAAAGACAAGCTCTCATTTTATACCCATTTGGAGATGAATAAAATGGGGGTGAATAAATTGATGTTAGTCTTTCAGATTGTGCATTAACTAAAAAATTAAACCAAAAAAATATCTCTAGAAGAGCAGAAAAAAGTATAAAAAAATTTAGTTCAACAATAGCATTAATGATTCGTGTTGTCAATTCATTAATATATTACTCATAGCTAGTATCGGAGAGTAATTATATATATAATGTTGAATGTAACGTTGATTCAATTACGTATTATTTGTCGATCTTATAGAAATTGAATAACATGTTATTCTTTGGTTATCTTCTCAATAAGAGTTTCTGCTTTTATCATTGTGTATAAAAGTAATTGATCATCTTACTCATTTTCTCGCGGAACTTCGTTATTTATCAAACTAATGCTCCATCATATGAAATACATTGCAAATCATCGACCTTTTCTTGCAATGATGATAAGTCTTGATTATGTTTTACTCCTTCTAAGAAAATATTTGATTCTTCAATGGATAATTTAACTTTTGATTGTTCTGCTGCTAATGTTGAAAGTGTTATTTGTATTTGAAGTGCTTCATGGGTTAGACATTGTTCATCATTGGTCAATGTTTCGATGCCACTCACCAAGATATTGAGCATTTCATTAAGCTCTTCTAACTGAGCTATAGTAGGATTACAAGTTCCTGCAGTTGTTGTTCGAGGAAGATCAAGATTCATTTGTCTGTCGTTTAAAGGTGATTAAATTTGACGAACAACTTTGATTAAGGCATTTTGATGTTATTCAGTCAAATAATGATCTTTCATTTTGGCACGAATTATCTAAAGAACATACATTTTCTGGCATAGGTTTCATCTCGAGAATATTCATACTCGTTCATTACAACCGAAATCTTTCAATATACAATCAACAATGAGTTGTTGAAATTCAAAGACTTTATGTTGATTGAATTTTTTAGCTGAATCAAAATGTTTGCCACAATAGTCACATTTAAGATTTGAATGAGACTGATTGAGATGTTCCTTTGGAATAAAAAGCAAAGAAGATCCAAAAATAAAATAAATATAAAATGAATTACTTGATAGTTACATAAGATATATATTCAATATAATTATGAAAAGATATTTTACCTCGGTCTGTAATGTTTCTGCTTGACATTGCCGACATTTAATTGTCGTTCTTGAAGAATAATAATGAAAAATAATACTTCAAATTGATGATGAAACTTATTGTTGTTCAACATTAACATCTTTTTTGGCACTGACGATGGTCACATTGAGTCAATTGCACAGGATCTCGTATTATCAATAAACACACAGGACAAATATATTTCAAATCAAGAAGATGTTTATTTCTTGCAGCGATTTCTACCATGTTTTAATTTAAGTAATACGAAACGACCAATGAATGTTACGTAAATATAAAAATCAGTTTTGGTGTGAGTGTTTGGATGATTGAATGTGTGAATGATCTTCTAACCAACATTACACCTACGCCCTGACATCATATCTGTTGATAAGCAATGGAGGAAGTATAACTGCTGAAGGCAAGTGAATCATACTTATTACTCAATTTCTTCAAAAGTGTCATGGGAAGATTACATAATGATGTTTGGATTGAAAAAGCTACGTCTTGACAGAATAAATTCTATTAACGCTTGATTTCAAAAGATTCTCATGTCAGTCTCACTGCTAGCAACACACATAGGTCACTGTCTGTACGCGTACGAACGTCATGCAACGTGCGCGTACTAAGCGTGATTCGAACATGTTACGCTTGGTACGCGCACGTTGCGTGACGTTAGTACGCGTACAGACAATGATCTATGTGTGTCGCTAGCAGTGAGGTTGACATGGGTTGGAAACGCATAATATTTTCGCATTAGTTCTCACATATTCAAGTAACAACCCATTTTTTGAAGATGTAGAAAACATTGCACAACTCTGATGACTCATGAATTTATCATACATAATGTTTTCTTGACTTGCTCGTTTGAAAAAGTTCGTAAATTTTCGAGGCAAATCTAATTAGCAGCAGTGTTTTTTCAGTCTTCCTTAACTCATCACTGAACAAACATTTTCTATTGAGACATTATAGCTATTTTTCTTCAATCTCGAATAAATTTACTGAAGATATTTTTCTAGGTCGAAGAATACGGCTCTGTAACCCGTCACATTACAAAACGAAGGTAATCAGTGAAGAAACTGGTGAGCGTTTTCTAGCAATGAAAAAAATTCCTAAAACGGTACGATGAATTAATGTGCAATACGGTGAAAACTAATGTAGTAATTCATAGTTTAGGGTCGTTGTCAACAGTCTGACTGATTGTCCGTGGATTCTATAATTCTTCCATTGAAATCAACAAAACATTTTTTTACAAAAAGGTTATTTATCAGTAGTGGAAATTTAGTAATCAACTTTTTTTCGTATTACAAAATTAGCGTATTTCTTGCAATTATATATTTTGTATCTTACCAGAGCAGAGAAGTTGATGTGGAGACCTTAGATTTGTGTATAAAGTAATGAAAAAGTTACTTTATTAAAAAGGAAGCGAGAATTTATTTTCGATCATTTCATTGTTGACCTTAATGCAGAAACATAAATCGTTAGAAATCATGTAAATAAAAACAAAAACAGTATTTTTACTCCATTATAGTAATACATAAGCAACTATTTTGTTCGACTATTGTTTCATAATAATACTATTTGCTCTTCAATTAATTATACATGAAACATATCTCACTTGGAAATTTTCAGACACAAACAGTGCAAATATTGCACGAAAATTACAAAATTATTATTCTTAAACTCACAAGTATACTCAAATTTTTATACATATTGATAATCAAACATCAAACATTAATCTTAGAACATTTTTTTTATCAATTTGAACATCCTTGAAAAAAGAGTTCTACTAGGATGCAAAGATTTCCATGTTGCATAGAAATCTACCGTTGCTAAGTCACACCTTAAAACGTTCTCTTAACACAATACAATGAACTATAAAAGAAACGTCACTACTTCCGTAATAGTATTGGAATAAAAATGTTTCGATTTTCTATATGTTACATTTGTAAATACTGATCAAATTCTGTATAAATTGGTGTAGCTTTTCAATGTGTTTCATAGGAGATATTGCTTTCATTGCACCACTGCTATAATGGTATTGTTAAAGTGTCTTTCACATATCCTGATGATTGTTTAAAAAGCTTGTCACTCTTAAGTCAGTAGCGCCATCGTGATTGATATTTCTGATAAGATTTGAGAGTAACAGGTGTTTGAAGTTGAAGCAAAAAGCATTATAGTTATTGTTCTCATTCTTACTATCAAAGAAAAGCGACTTTAATGAATATAAAACTTTATGTAGTCTGTTTTTTCATGAGATATTCATTCGTACAAGAGGCGATAAGATTTTTTTTTTGTTGCTCTCACATCCAAATCAATGTGGGCATATGTAATTTTGAAAACTGTTGTAGAGGATATATCATTGTACATATTATGAATATCGAAATCAGAGTTGAGAGCCATTTATCTTTGTTTGAAATTTAACTGATTCAATCTCTTATCAGAACCATAAGGAAAATGAAAAGCAATTCTGGACTCCTTCAGAAATTATTAAAGAATCTGTTAAAAGTTCCTCGACAACTTCGAAAGGAATTCCTATTTTTCACTTCTTATATATTGTAAAAACAATGACTAATTAAATAAATCAAGAATATAATGGAAGCCAGATGTAAATATATATTTTTATTATTTAACGAATACGTTGTGCATAGAGATTGACATGTTAATTCGAAGAACCTATGAAAATAGAAACTCTCAATTACTAGTAACAATGCTCAATAATATCTGATTGACTTATAAAACTTGGTTGTTTCGTTTTTAATATATCAATAACTTTTCTGTTAAACGTTAGAGTATTTATAAATAATTCAACTATTTTAAGCCAAAATTATTTTTTCTTCGAAAATAAAATTTGATTATCACTATCAGATTTTTGTATAATAAAGATCGATTGTAATACTTCTACAACGAAAGAATTATAGTTGATGTATTTCAAACAAAAGATAATATACTAATCTATTAGAAATTAAATTCGTATAGTCCCACAATCAATTTATAAAGTATTGTTTATAACAAAGTATACTGCTTAGAGTATACATATTAAATAGATATTGGAAAGAAAAATCATCATGAATATTCTCAAACAATTTAATAAATTATTACTATTCTCTGATAAAATTGCGTGGGGTGCTGTCACAAATGTTCGACAATAAAAATAACGTCATACGATTCTTATCAGTATGATGAGTGTATGTCACGAATCAATCACACTATCGTTCCAAAACAGCTACAGACTTTCTTAAGAATAAGAAAAAGCAAAAATACAAGTCAGTGAAAAGTACACTCAACAAAATTTTTCCCACAAACAAAATATAATGAGAAAACACTTTTGTAAAATGTTTATTCTTAACCAATGTATAGAAGAACATTTAATCAGATTGACGACATAGAAAAAGGTGTAGGCCAAATAAAGACTAAGATTGATATCCATGTTCATATTGCGAAGAAAAAATAAACTTGTTGAAATACTATTTAGATATTTTGCAATTTTACTTTTCGCTATTATTATATACCTTCGCGGAAAAAACCTTTCACTCATATATTTTTTGTCGAATATACTTCATATTCAGATGTACCCACGATGTTCCATAAAATGTTATTCATTAATCCAAACGTACACTTTATCCTTATTCAATGTAACCTGTAGTTTTGATCTTATTCGATAAATAATATTCTTATGTAAGAACTTCAATAGAATGAAGTGAAGAAGAATCAAAATAAAATGTGTTGATTAAATAAGGATTAAATATGTGTCTATATTACTTATTTAGTATCGTTTATTAATATACTTTGCTCACTTTCGTCTCTATGGAAAAGAATATGTTCGAAAATCAGAAAAATTAATAATAATTGATAACCATCAGTGGTAAAAAGTTTCGAATTTTATTCTATTAAATGATATCAGATTTATCACAAAATTGTGTATAATAAAAACTAAGAGAATTGAAGTTGTGAATTCGTAAAAAGAACCGATCTTTTTCGACTTCAAATTTTCAAATTTCTCATTTTTATTTGTATTTACTGTATATAGGTCTTAAATTATCTTTGAGTTGAAATTGTCTTCATTACTTATAGACCTTTATGTCGTCAGAAAAGTACAATATAAAAAAAAAAAGTAATATTTGATTTTTCTGTCTAATTTCTGCTATCTTCGTACAATAAAAAAATGATTGAAACGTATTTCAAAAAGAAAAATTAACCATAAATATATACTTTATTTTTAATATCATCAATTAATTAACATTTATTTTGTACTCAGTTGAAGTCAACTAACAGCGACAAACTTTTTAGTCAAAGTTGGAAATTCATTGTGTAAATGCAATGCAACTACAACTTCTTTCCTTGGTGCAAACTTAATACAATACATAAATGTAATAACACTGCATAGAATGTAAAAAAAGAAAGATGAAGAAAAAAATGTTCTAAAACGGTGATAATGTTGTTACCTCAAAAGTACATTTATTCCGATGCTGAAAGCAAAAATTATTTGTCCTTAATCATATTGTACATTCTAGAAAGATCTAAGCGCAACTCAAAACAATATAGTTTTGGTTTTAATTCGGTGTCAATATGAAAAATCAAGTCATATTCCTTG